ACAGGTAATTCTAGAGTAGTTAGAAGCAAACAATACTAAACCAAAAGTGTATTGCTATGCACAGCGTTTTAATAGAACATTTTACAAATGGGTTGCCTTCTGCTATTACCAGTACTGCTATACTTGCCTTGAAGAAGGATGTTTCCATTTCAAGGAATATGTACATTGTTCTCTATATTTTAATGTGCATAAATCACTGAAACCTTTTCATAAGTGTAATAACCTACTGCTCTGGAGAATTAGAAAATCATTCTTCATTTTAAGAAAATTATTCACACGTCTTCTTAGACTGATTCTATCTCTTCTAATTTGAAAAGAAGAGATGAAACAACACTACGTGGAAAGGTATAACATTTGCTGCACAGTGCTTAGCAGCACTCTTAAATTGTGCTATGATGCTCACCTGCGTCAGGCAGCATGTTAAAAAGGCAGAACCCATCGCTCCTGACCTAGACTCTCCGCAGGGGAGGCCCAGAGGCAATCAAAAATTTAAGAAGTACCTCGTGATAGACAAACCTGGGCCAACAAAGCTCCAAAACTTAGCTGAACTATTTATTCTTCAACATTAAACCTGGAATTTAAGTAAATTCAACTAAGCTTTTAGAGATGTATAAGTTACATCATCATAGAAAGAAAGATGTGATTAACGGAGCCAAAGGAGTGAAAAGTCCTGCTTGCACTCTCCATCACATTTTCCCTATTGTACTATATTAAAATATATCTAGTAAAATTGTCTTTTTGATGGAAAGAAAGAAAACTAAAGTTTATTTGAAATCTAAGAGTTCTCCACTTTGTATGGAACTAGATAGCCAAGCAACTTAGAAAGGAGTCTAGCATTTAGACTAGATGAGATAAATAAATATGTGTGGACTAGATAAATTTGCCAGATACTGGGGCAGGCTCTGGCATTACAGTACCAACAGAAAGAGAAATTCACTCATGGACTTTATAAATCTGTCTAGGAGCAGCCTCCTTCAGAACCTACAGACAGCCTGGAAATGGCATTTCAAAACAAAACAAAATTTTTGTTCTTTGCTACAAAAATTTACTGCAAACTGACTTTAGAATCAGCTAAAGTGTACTCAGACTTCAGAACATCATCCTTCAAGCAGTTGTTGTATGCTATTTATTGGGCTCTACAAGCCTTGATTTATAAGATGAACCATGGATTTGAAGTAGAAAAACTGGGAATGAACTATTCCATAACAAAACCCTAGTGCCTTTCCTATTAGTCCTGTTTTCCCATGAAAATCCTTTAGTTGGAATAAGGCTCATGGCTAATGCCACCTCCATTTTCATCATGTTTCTCTACCTTCAAACATGAACAAAACAGCCTTTGAGGTGAGTAAGCATATAGCTGCTCTAAATAAACAAATTAGCCATCTATTTAATTCTGGATTCACCCCCTTACTAACTGTATGACACTGAACAAGTTATGGAAGTTTTCAGCATCTCAGTTGCCTCACCTGTAAAATGAGATAATAATGGAATCAAATTCATAGTGATGCTGTAGGGAGCAAAGAGATAAAATGCAGATAAACTGCCTGGAATATGCCTGGGATATAGTAGTACTCAATAGTAAGTTTTTATCTCTAATCATACTTCTGAACTCTCAGGAGATAAAGTCATAGTCTTATCAATTAAAGGTCACAGTTTGGATTTGGATTTGGGTTTGACTTCAAAGCTTGTGCTTTTTGTTTAGTATCCTGCTTCCCTTGATTCAGGCATTCATCCAAGGTATTAATTCAGTGCCATCTCTGTATAAAGCACTGGTCTAGGCACAGTGCAAATGAAGGGATGAAAAGACAAGACCTCTGGCCTTCAGATTACAGTTGAGAAGAGAACATGAAGAATGCACATAAATTGTCATTATATAAGGTGGAAGCCAGAGCCATAAGAGGTAGATATAGGGAAATTCTGAGGAGATAATAATTAATTCCAGTTGATGGGTGGTGAAGGGCTAGAGGTAGGGGATCAGATGTTCATCACCATGGTGTGGGTTTCAGGCCAGCTACACAAGCAGGCTCCAGCAACAAGAGAAGAATATGGCCTCATGGGGGTCCTGGCTACACACAGTCTAAAATCTCTTTCCACTGGCCTGCTGTTCAAGGTGAAGATTCTCAGAAACACTGGTACCGAACATCCATGTACATTGGGGTCTTTAAAAAAATCCCTCTTGGGGATTGGCACAGTGGTTGAGTCTGCTTGCTAATGCAGGGGACACGGGTTCGAGCCCTGGTCTGGGAGGATCCCACATGCCACGGAGCAACTAGGCCCGTGAGCCACAACTACTGAGCCTGCGCGTCTGGAGCCTGTGCTCCTCAACAAGAAAGGCCGCGATAGTGAGAGGCCCGCGCACCGCGATGAAGAGTGGCCCCCGCTTGCCTCAACTAGAGAAAGCCCTCGCACAGAAATGAAGACCCAACACAGCAAAAATAAATTAATTAATTAATAAAAAATAAGGAATGATATTTAAAAAAAAAAATCCCTCTTTACCAGGACCCTGAAGACAAAAGTTGAAATAAATGATTCAAATTTATGAGCTAACATTTCCATCGAGCAATGACAGGAGAACCGCATTCCACATCGTTTACAGCAAGAGCTCTAAGGTCCAATCTTGCCAGGTTAGTAATGGAGAAAAGACAGCACTGCTACCTAATGGTGACTGAGTGGTCATGGAGAGAAAAATCTGTTGGCATCTACCCAAAGCCCAGTAAGCAGATGGCTATGGACATGAAACCCATCATGACGACCGGCAACTCATTGGGATGCTCTGAGCCGGGAAGGGGGCTGAAAAATGCCCTTCTTTGGCTGCCCTTCCTCACGAAGCATATTGGCAGCGCAGGAGGGGGACAACTGCCTGACTGCTGCCAAAGGGAGAAGAGATGGCCTTTAAAATCTAGGCTGCCGCAACCTCCTGGGTAGTCAATCTGGTGCCTTTCAAGCAACCAGAGAGCATCTTAAAGACGTGTGTATGATTTCCTTTAGGATAAATGATATCCAACAGATTCCATTCAAAGCTGGCTCATAGGATAACAAGCCAAGCTCCAAGATTTAGAGGGGTCTGAGTCCTCTGTTGTCAGGCCTGGTGTGTCAGGTATGTGATACCGATTGTTTTACCTTCTTAGGATTCTGAAGTGGGTGGTGTGTGGATAACCAAGTGTTTTTATGTGTTCTGAGGATAAATGCCATTGAATGACTAGGATTGTTAGCTATGTAAATGGTCATTATCAGTAACAATCTACCTTGCAGAAGTTTACTATTTTGGGGTATTTTTTAAGTTAATGAAGATCCACTTTTTTCTGAAACGCATAGTTTCATTGTATTTATAATATTGCCTAACATTTCAGATACCTTACCCAGGTAGCATTAAAACGTTCATGTATTGCATCACAACAAACAGACACACAAACATATACACACACACTGCTTATTCTTAATATGCCTTTAAGCAGACCTCTCTGAATCCATAGTAAGTAAAATACACTGTCAAAAAGCTGACCTGTATTTCAAGAAACAATGAACTGAGTTTCAGTAATAAGAATACCTAATATTAAAAGTCACTCTGAAATAAGATAGACATTATTCCAATATGAATTACATTTACATAAAAATTTTGACTACTTGGCCCTTTCAAATCAATTTTAAAGATAGTTGAGAACTTTTCCCTGAAAAACATACCAAAAAACACAGCTAATGTACCCAAGATGCCCTTGACTTATATTGTTCTTTAAACAAATTACATAAGATATGTTGTTTTATATGGACAGAATTTTAGAGCAGAGAACCCTAATAGTTATTTCACTTGTTTTAGGGCCTGAAACAGTTTAACCATAAAGGTATCTGATTATTCAATGATCCACCCATGTCAACCAGAAAATGGCCAGTTTGGAGTAGTATCTGATCACAATTTTGCTTAAGAAAAAGAAGCCATAATCAGCTACCAGCTGAAGAAATTATTATATTATTTCATAATAGCAATTAACACTTGATCATATAAATATATACCTTTACGGAGTATTATGTACAGTAAGTATTTTAAAGATGACAATGCCATAATCAAGGAAACCATTAACAATATGTAATTCATTAAAACTGAGATTATATCAAACTATCCCAAAGATATAAAGAGATAAGCATGCAAATAACATAAATGGTAAGGGATTGAGGTAAGTGCAGATGAAGTTTGGTTGATAAATAAAAAGTCAAAAAAATTTTTATTTACATGCAGCTACTTTTCCAAAGTATATGATCCAAAATTGTTCCCCCAGGAGGTCAAGTAAAACTATTAGGTAAGGTACTGCTTTCACTTCCATAATGGGCAAGAGACTTCTACTCCACTCTTTAGGAGGAAGCTACTCAACTCTATCTCCTTTATCCTCCAAAAGAGTGACTTGTGACCGCTCAGGTACAGCCTGAGGGTTTCGGCTCTAGTACCCTCCCTCCACTGCATCGGTAGGTAGTGAGGGAGGTTGTGGTCCTCCATGGTATGGGCTGGGGTTGGCTGTGCAGGACTAGCTCTTCCTGCTGGCAGGCTCCAAAGTATAGACTTGATGGGAAAAGGAGTGGGAAATCTGGGAGTCCATCTTTCCTAATTCTTTAAGATTAATTTTATCTTTCTCCCAATCCCTGTAAAACCTAACAGGACCAAAAAGTAGACCCCAGGCTGCTCTTTGATTTCACTCATCCTTCCTTTGATAACTGATGCAATAAAGTTGGAAATATGAAATGGGGTTTTTGCTTAATCCTGGCACAGAAATCTTGAGCCACAGAGTATAGGGCTTATTTCAGTATGACCTATTTGAAAACACTTCGCTTTTAAATCATCAAGCCCAACTTGTTGGGGGAGTTGAGTAAAATAAAATCCTTCTCAGAATAAACATGCAAATTCCTTGAAAGTAGATTCCTTCCCCCACCAGTAAACATAGAACATGCTCTAAAGAACACCACCCAATGGTAAAACACAATGAGCTCATAATGTAGCATTTAAATATAAATACCTCCAGCCAGGATCTTCTCTTCCAATTCTGCCATTTGCTTCTTATAGGCTTTCCAAGCTGCTTCTCTGAAAGAGGGACGAATCTTCTTTGGCTTTATGATTTCCAGGGGCTTTTCAGGGATGTTTTGGTTTTCATCTTCTTTTATTTTCATTTCAGCTGATGTTTCCTTTAAGGGTTCCAATCCCCCTTCATTAGCCACATCATCTTCCTGCCCATCATAACCCTCATCTTGTGGGGTTTCATAAGGTGTTTCATATGAAGGGTGATCATATTCCTGAATTTGTTCATCTGTTTCAGTAATACTAGTCCTGTTTTCTAGCTTAGCAAGGACTTGTTCCATCACTTCAACATAATCTGTTTCATTATCAGCTGCTGGTTCACTATAGTCCTCCACGTGCTCTGCTTTGTAGTAATAAGGCTCTGTGTAGACATCAGAGTCAAGCGTGGTACTTGATTCATTTGCAGTTGATTGGGATAATGTTCGAAATCTCCCGATTAAGGAAGAGCCACTGTCCTCATACCCACTGAGACTCTGTGTGCTTTTGTTCCATACCACTTCCAAGGCTGATTTAGCCCTCTGTAGTGTGGATCCAAATTTTGGGAAGCTGAAAGACTTATCAGTAAGGTCAATGCTTAATCGACTATGCCAAGATTTGGGTGGGGCATCCTCTGAATCATCACTTTGCAATTCACTTTGACTTCGATACATCATGGACAACTGGTTTTGGTTTTGGTACAGCTCATTAGAATTAGCTTCCTGATAAGAATTATATTGGCCAGCCCACTGTCCTTGTGGTTCATTATCCAACCCAGGGCATGGAGATGAGCTGTCATCTTGGGTTAAATCATAGCTCTCAGAGTCATCCTGAAGGACACTGTGGCACTTTCCCAAGTCTTCTAGGTCTTTATGGTAAACATCTAGTTGTTGATCAGATAGACTGTTTGTGTCATAGTCAAAAACTTCCTGGGTGGATGAATCTAAACCTAAATCAGCTCCTTGCTCTACTGGATTCCATTCCTTCCATGGAGAAAGATCTTCATGTAAAGAGAGCTGAGAATCACTGTAGTGACTCTGGTCTCCAGATGCACACACCATGCTATTACTCACTCCACTGTCCACAGTTTCTGTGTTCTCAATTTCACTCTGTACTTGGACACCCTGAGAAGCCCCATTCAAACACTGATCCTGAGGGCTGTCATGCAAGGTAGGCGTGCCGTCCTGTTTCCTCTGCCAAAGTTCCCGGTCTGAAGACGACAGGAGGGAGCTTCCATTAGTTCTAGTGAAAAACTGATTTTCTGAAAAATCCTCCGAATAAGATTGACACAATCTGGAAAAGTCTGATTCAGAACGACTAAGTTTAGTGGTGAAAAAATCACTCTGTGAGTGCCAGAGAGGTGTTGCATCTGCGTAATAGGTTGTGGTTTGCTTTGCCAAGTTATCCGATTCTGGCAAATACAAGGAAATTTTATCATATTCTGATTTATTTGCAATTCTGCTGCTACTAGAAGTTTTATTCTTGGCTCTAGCGTTGTGTGATTTTGAACTTGACTTGGAAGCACTTCCTTTTGTTGGAAACTCTGACTTGGAAAGCACAGCATAACTGTTTCTATTGAGGTCAGATTCCAGCTCTCTATCACTGTCATCAGGTGACTGCCAACTGTTCTTCTTGATTTTGAGCTCTGGAGTAGACAGCTTTATATCCATGCTCTCATATGTCTGGGAGGATGGTATCCCTCTCTCTTTTCTTTCTTTGATGTCATGAGTAAGAATATCTGTCGAGATTCCGATGCCTGTTCCTTTGAGTTTATATGATTTTTTTAAGACGGAATCCCTTTGCTGAGGGGTTTCAAAATACACAAGGATGGGTCGAGGCTTTGCATTGGGGCAATCCCTTTGGTGTCCTATCCTCTGAGCAAATTCAACTTTAATAGCATTTGGTGCATCTGAAAAACCCATTTTATCTATTAGAATTTGGTACACTACACTTTCAATGTATTCAAATCTTTCTTCAGGCACATTTAAGAATCTCAGGCTTGCCTTGCTACCCATGTGACCTAAGTGTTTAATATAATCATGGATGTCTCTGGTTTCCCTCCGAGACTGGACAAACCCTGTACGGAGCTGCTCAATTTCACTTTGTACAACCTCCACGCTGCTGGAGATCTCATCGATAGAATGCTTGAGAGCATTGACATGCCCTCGGAGTTCAGAAAGTTCTGTTTCAATCTGACTTATTCCCTGAAGCTCCTTAAAGATCATTTCCATGACATCCTGTGTTTGGCTAATGCAGCCAGAGGAACTGAATCCGGCCTCCAGGGCACTGGTCTTTGGGTTGCGGGCAGTTCTGTCCAAAGATTTGCTTCTGATTCCCCAGGTTTTCTTCACTGTGCTCAACTCTGAATCCGAGGAGACACACTCTTGACTCTTTTTCCATTTCCTCAGTTTGCGTAAAGCTCCTAGTTTTAAGCTATGCAGAGTGCGTTCCCCATCCGAGCTCCCTTCTGAGGGTGCCAGGCTGCTTGAACTCTTCCTGTTGCGTCTAACTGGCATCGTGTGTGTTGACTGTGCCTGGTTTTCTGTACTGCTCCTTAGTTCACTGAGTGATTCTGAGTAGGAACTCTCGATGGAAGATAACTCCTGAAGGATATCCTCATTCTCACCACTGGTTATATGAATATTTTTCTGGAGGCCATTGGCAATAGCTACTCGGTAACTGAAGGTGGGGGAGAGGGAAAATTCTTTGTTAGCCTCGTCTTCTTCAGTGGATAAGTTGCGAGCGGATGAACACTTTGCAATCTTCTTTACGGTGCTTTTCAAGGTATTAGAAAATTTAGGGGGTTTGGTCTGGCCAGCAATAAGAATGTCTTGATCCTTTTTCGGCTGACGATTCTCCTTTTTTTTGGTTGTATTTCCCAATTTCTTTGCAAACATTCCTTTGCAAAGCTTATGGATGTAAGGTAAAATCAGGCTCTTGAAAAGATTAGCCACCATGGAGAGCAATTAGTGCAAGCTTTTCTGCCCCAAAGAAGTAAATAAGGTATCAGGATGGAAATCTGTAAATCCAAGGCCAGCATCACTGTTCAGATGTTCTGTGAATCACTGAAAATAGCAGGAAGAGTCGCTGTGTCTCTGCCACAATGTCAGTGTCCTGGGAAAACCAGAAGTCAAGCTCCATTTATGAAAGACATTCATTCACTCTTGGAGGAGGGGTTTCGTGAATCGCTTTCATTTCCACATAACTTCATGCAGTACCTAAAAGAAAGGAACGGTAAAATGAATATCAGAATTCAATCCTAGATTTATCCCATTTCCAACATTTTTCAAAGCTATTCAAGATACACAATGTGTGAAAACTTGCAAAGGGGACAGGGAAATATCTGAATTTCAACACAGTTACTTTTAAAACAACTAGTTAAAGCAAATCAGAACCAATAACTATGCTTAAATTATAATTTTCTTTTCCTAAATCACTTATGGGTGGACACAATTAAAATACTAGTAAAGGTAATAATAATTATTTAGAAAATGTTTTGTAAGGTGACAGGCAAATTTAAAAAGCTATATTACCTGCATGGTCTTATCACTTCCACTTTATATCTTTTCCTACAATTACATTTACTTCTACAAACATAAGCATTTCAGTTTAAATGTATTCCCCCCACCTCAAACATTTAAAATTCATCAAATTAATATTACCCATGTAGGTAAGATTTTTTTAATTCAAATAATCTTGTTATTCTAGGTATTCAATGATTGATAATTTCTTAAATGATGACTAAAGTAATTGAAGTAAGAAAACATTTCATGTGATGACATAAATACCAAGAGAAAATACTTCTTGTATAGGCATCAAATTTGTCAATGGAGTATCATGAATTGAAAAAAAAAGTTATATCAAATTTAGGCATTGTAGTAACAATAACAACACAATAGGAAAATATATTTGAAAATGAGGATAACACATCTCGGTTCTGAGAGGATGTGGCTTGACAAAGCAAAGCCACCTTAGGCAACCAGTGCAGCCTTGTGGCAGGTGGCAGGAAACCCAACCCCAGGGTTAGGACCATGACTGAAGATAGAACACCAAATCACAGAAACAAAATTGTACCACAAATGAAACATGTCTAAAGATAATCAAACACTGGTTGAATATAATTCATCCTATGATTTGGTATTTTATAATGCAAATGACCACACAAGTAAATCATATTTGTGATAGCTAGTTTTTTGAATTACATGAAGAAGACAGTTTACATTAATTTTGCTGCTTTACCAGCACTGTGCCTTCTATGTGGTAGGTATTCACACACAACTTTGTTGAACTGAACTTACTATTTTATCACTGAAATATATCACAGAATAATAGTAATGATCAAAAGCCTTTGTTACTATCAAACTATGGATTTGTGCAGATAAATAATCTATTTAATTCTTTAAAGAATACATCACAAACTGCACATTGTTTTAGGAGCCTGATGGCTCTCTATCAGCTCCCTCGACTTGGAAATCTGCCAATTTCACTTTACTAGGGTCCTGCAGGGACTTGAGGAATACATTCTCTGGCCAGGAGCCAAGCTTCACAAGAGACAGGGCACTGCAATGAGAAAGGGAAGCAAAAAAGATGGAGGAGAGAAACAGACTCTAAACCCATGTCTTCCGGGTTTCATAAGTTGTTAGAGTCTAATTCTGCTTGTCTGAAACAATTTGGTATTCATTCAGAATTACATGCCATGTTTTCTACTAATAAAAACTGCAAGAAATTAATTCCTGAATTAAATTCAAAAAATATTTATTGTATTCCTATGTGACCTCTCCTTGTGGGGAAAGAAAAGACTTTAGAAAGTTAAGTAATGGGGATGTATGTATACATAGAGCTGATTCACTTTGTTATACAGCAGAAACTAACACAACATTGTAAAGCAATTATACTCTAATAAAGATGTTTAAAAAAAAAAAAGAAAGTTAAGGAACAGTAGGGTAGATAAATTTTTTAAAACCAACTTTGATAAAATAAATTGTTCCACTAATCACTCAATCTAAGATCCTGGGTCTCTCAAACCTGGAAACAAATACCTGCTTTTTATTTAAATGAACACAGCAATTTTTGTCAATGCCTCTAAAGTTTTCATGAAATTGTGTCTAGACTTCTTGACCTGCATTACTAGTTCAGAGCTATTGTTCTAGACTATAACGGTTGGAAAAATTTTGAACAGGAAAATTCAATCTACATTAAAGCCCTGCTTCAAAACACAAACCCGTGGACATGTGGGCATAGCTGCATAGATGAACTCACTTGCTCTTGTATTCCAACCATACAGAACAGCTTGTTATTCACTACGGGCTCTATGCTCTTTCACACCTCAGTAACTCTTCTATTCTCTCTACCTAGAATATCATTCATGTCTAGCTCTTCTTATCTGTAAAAATTGTGTTTCAACTTCAAAATCATTTGTCCAGTGAAGACTTCACTGACCACCCACACTGAGCTTTTCTCTCTCTTTGCCACACTCTCCCACAATCCAGTGCATGAGCAATTCGAATTCTTCTGTATTATAATCTCATTTCTGTCTCCATCCACTGGACTATGTCCTCTTTAAGGGTAAGACTATGACTTGCCCAATTTTAAACATCCTGAACCCAGCAGACATAATAAACATTCAATAAATGGTTATTGAAGAATTGGTCCAAAAGGTACAATGTTTCAGTTATGCAAGATGAATAAGCCCTGGAGATCTACTATACATTGCAGTGCTGTTAGTTAATAATACTGTATACTTAAAATTTTGCTAAAAGAGTAGATCTTATCTTGTGTTCATATCACAAAATAATAATAATTGTAAAGAAGGAAAGGCAGGAGAAAACTTTGGGTGATGATGGATATGTTTACAGCATAGATTGTGGTAATGATGGATATGTTCATAGCATAAATTTTGGTGATGATTTCACAGATGCATACTTACCTCCAAATTAACCCACATTTCAGCTACTTATTAATGTCTTCACCTGGTTGTCTAAAATTAAACTCCATACAACACCTAGTCATTTTCCCAAATTATTAGTCTCAACTAATATCATATCATCATAGTTATTAATTTACCCAACACATATACCCAGGAATCATTCTAGATTCAATATGATCCATCCCATATCCATACCTGATGTATGTCCCCTTATCCCACTAGTGATGCCTTAGTTCTGAACTCCACAATTTCTCATCTGGACTACTACAGTTGTATCCTATATGGTATTCCTAGCTCTAATTTGGTCCTCTCTCAAATCCTCCTCTCTAAAATTAATATATTTAAAAGATATAGGGCTTCCCTGGTGGCGCAGTGGTTGGGAGTCCACCTTCCAATGCAGGGGACACGGGTTCGTGCCCTGGTCCGGGAAGATCCACATGCCGCGTGAGCCATGGCCACTGAGCCTGCGCGTCCACAGCCTGTGCTCCGCAACGGGAGAGGCCACAACAGTGAGAGGCCCGCGTACCGC